TCACCCCAATACCCCAAAAAACATCAATGGACATTACCGACCTTAACAATCTCAGACCAATCTCCTTACTCCCATTCACCTCCAAACTCATAGAACGCCTTATCTACAGCCGCCTGAGCCGCCACCTCACTGATAACAACCTTCTCGATCCCTTACAGTCCGGCTTTCGCCCCCTACACTCCAGTGAAACCACCCTCCTAAAACTCACTAATTACTTAATAACAGCTAAACACAATGGCCACTATTCTTTACTCTTGCTATTAGACCTTTCTGCTGCTTTTGACACTGTGGACCACCTGCTCCTCCTCAAAAAACTCCACTCGCTTGGCCTACAAGACTGCTCTTTCATGGTTCTCCTCTTACCTGTCTAAGCGCTCCTTCAGTGTCACCTACAAATCTAACTCCTCCCCTCCTCTTCCTCTTTCTGTAGGGGTCCCCCAAGGCTCTGTCCTTGGACCCCTTCTCTTCTCTATCTACACCTCTTCTCTTGGTCAGTTAATAACCTCACATGGCTTCCAATACCATCTCTATGCCGATGACACTCAAATCTATCTCTCTACTCTGCAACTCTCCCCCTCAGTGTCCTTGCGTGTCAACTAACTGACATATCAGTCTGGATGTCGCAACACTTCTTAAAACTCAACCTTTCAAAATCTGAGCTCATGATATTTCCTCCTGCCCGTGCACCTTCCCCGAACTTTTTCCTTGAGATTGTTAATACAACTATCCAGCCTTCCCCCCATGCCAAGGACCTAGGTGTCATCCTTGACTCGGACCTCACCTTTCTTCCCCACATCCAATCCCTATCCAAATCCTGCCGCCTTCACCTTCCTAACATCTCCAAAATACGCCCCTTCCTCACCAATGAAACCGCAAAATTACTCATCAAATGGCACATCAGTTCCTGCGTTCCAGTCCAGTGCAGTCAGAAAAAATACTGCATGCACTATTTTTTCTGACTGCACCGGACCGGAACGCAGACACTAATGTACCACGTGTTCCGGTGTGGGTGATCGCATTGTGGCTGGAGGGTGTGGCTGCGGTGCCATTTACTTCAATGCACTATCACACCCCCTCTTGCCCCAAAACAAAGTGAGCTGGCCGGAATGCGATCCAGCGCATTCCAGCACCAATCGGGCCAAAACGCACTGTGGCTGATGTGAACTAGCCCTTAAGCAAAAGGAAAAATTAATGAATAGTTTCACCATATACAGTACATATTCATGTAAGTACACATACATTTACAACATATAAAAAGACACGTATCTCAAGTATTAACACTTACTGACATGTTTATTTACAAAACACAATTAACACCTAAGCCAGCATGTGCTGCTATGGCTGAAGTTATGCCCTTATATTTACTAGAACTGTCACTTTTTTGGTAATTGAATATGCAAACTGGGCAAAGTATTGCAAACACTTTATAATAGGGCTGGTAATGATTAAAATTTTCCTGTTCGATTAATCAATTTTTTTTTTAATCGACTAATTTCGATTAATTATAACGCACATACAGAGGGGGGTCTCACCAGGGTAGCAGGGCTCTGTGGGGTCTAAACAGCCTTGTTAGACCCACAGAGCCCTGGCAAGACCCCACAGAGCCCTGGCAAGATCCCACAGAGCCATGGTCTCACCAGGGCTCCATGGGGTCTCACCATGGCTTTGTGGGGTCTCACCACTGTTGGGCTGGCAACCTGTTGCTTTAGCCTGCATGGCCTGCTGAAGTATGCCATATGGACAGTATTGTTGGTTTTGATAACCCCTTTAAAAATGATTATACGAGAGGCAGTGATAAAGTGATAAAGCCCGAGGATGCCAGATACTATCAAGGCTTAACTTTAAAGGGGCATTATGAACTGCATCCATCATAAGCGACAATATAAGCTATTAATTATGCTCTCGCCAGGAGACGGAGGATGTAAACAGGTATAAACAACCTTTATAGCATTGCAGCTCCAATGTTATTTGCTGGCTTATTTTGCTCCCTCAGCTGTGTCTGACCTGAAAGGGACACAATAGGGTTGGCAGGTCCAGGCCTGCCCGATAAAAGCATACCTGAGAGGGGCTGGACGCTGGCCTGAGAGGAGGCTTCGGCCTTTCAGGAATGCAGACTGGCAAGAGGCTAATATAAGAGAAGAGAGAAGGAGGGGCACGGGCCGAGGAGACCTGCGTCACCGCACACAGCCCAAGTGATTCCGTCAGGTAACGAATGGAAGGGGGAGGAGTCTATGTCCGTGACGTCACCTGACTCCTCCCTCCTTCCCTTAGTTACCCATCACGGACAACTACATCACCCCCCTTCCCTTCGTTAGCCGACAGAGCCAATCGGGGAAAGGGGGAGGAGTCCGGTGACGTCGATGTCCGTGACGTCGCCGGATCTCCAACGGAAGACCCGGAAGCCGGCGGAGAGGTGAGTATGGATCAAAAGAACTTTGATCGATCAAAATAATTTTGATCGATCAAAAAAATTAACGATTAATCGACGGATTAATCATTAATTTCCGCACCCCTACTTTATAACTTGTCTAAAACAATGTCTAAACTAGTTTGTTGAAAGGAACCCTTTAGTTAGTAATTGTTGACTTTGTGCCCAGTAGAAAGACCTAAGACAGAATAAAAGAACCTTTAGACTTAGTAGAATTCTGACATTCTACTTGAATGTATTAAATCTTTTTGCACAAGATCCCTTTATAACTATCCATAGTGATGAGTAAATCTGGAGAAATATTGACTAACTGCCAAGCATATACAGAACTAAAAAGGGATTCCTTGTCACTCTGATGCCCCTACTCAATTCATACCTGATCCTTGAACGTTTGTCAAGGCACAGGCACAAGATCCCGAATAAAACATAGCTTGATCACTTCCTCCATTATGAGACTTTCTTCACCTTATGCTCCTCTATTTCATTGCTTATTACTTTCCCCCTACTCTGTCACCCATCACCCTTCTCATTCCACCCACCTTTTTTTTTTGCCCTCCCCCTGCACTGCCATATTTAAACATCCTGTGCATGTGCACATGTGCCTCAGGTCTCTGCCATGTATTCTGGACCTGGAAGACACCTGCCGCACATCTGCACACATGTGGGAGATTACCATGCTTGTGCACAGATGCTGCTGGTTTCTAATACCCGAGACCTTGCAGGGACCAAGGTGCACATACTGAGATTCCATGTACTTCACACTGCCCTGGCCACCTACTGGGGCCTACCACATAAAAAGCTGTGCAATTTCCAACCCAACTGTGGGTTGGAACATTCAATGGCTTAGGCCACCCCATCCCTCAAATAACAGTTCTCAGGCCTGGTAATTGGCCCTAAGAAGGGAAATGGGGGAGACAAGCACATATACCTCTGAGTGCCGGGTTTTTGCCAGCTCTCTTGAGTGAACATGGCAAATGGAAAAAAGTGTAGGGTGAGTAGGTTCTTTGTACTTTGCATGTGCAAAGCACAAGTTCACTTGTATGAAGCGTTCACTTTGATTTATGATTTTTTTAATCAAAATCAAGTGGTATGCCGCATTCAGGACATATGATACTGCAAGTCCTTTGGTGCACATTGCTCCTTCCATCACTTGTATGAAGCGTTCACTTTGATTTATGATTTTTTAAATCAAAATCAAGTGGTATGCCGCATTCAGGACATATGATACTGCAAGTCCTTTGGTGCACATTGCTCCTTCCATCTGGATTCTCAAGCAGAAAAGCCTTAGACAGACATCAAGTGCTGTTTAACAGATTTGTAAAGGTTGGTAAAGATATACTGATTGTAAGGTGGTAGCCAAAATATATTTTTCAGTAAGATAGCTGGGACACATGATACCCCTCAAATCAAAATTATTTCTCCAACTACATTCATGTGATGAAAAGTCCAAAGTGGAATAGAGGATACTTTAAAATGTAAAACAATTATTTTGTTTACTTTTATAGATAAATGCCAATGATTTGGAACACAAACAAACTAAGCCTGCTTTAAATATCCAGTCAGGATCTAAATGTCCAATTTCCCTTTGACACAATGGTTTTTTAGACAAGTGAGCTACACTGGACATTTTAAGACACAATTGAGAATTACACGTTAGTTTCTAAAACCATATTACTTTTGACAATTAAGATTTTATATGATAAAATTAGACAACAAAACTGGGAAAACTCCAGTTAAAGCTATTAAAAATTTAAATGTGAGTTTCTGAGGAGAAAAAAAATAAACTACCAGTTCTCATCTTACAGTCATATGTGCTCTTTGGGGAACTATTATGTCTAACAAGCTCCTTTTCCATATTTAATGCAGAAAGGAAGAGTTTTGACACGTCTTGAACACTCCAATTTATGTGTCATACATTAACATGCGCTATGAAAACACGTCTCCCTGAAAGTTTCAGCTTGACTAAGAAAATATTGTGAAATTATGATGCACTAATATGAAAGAAACTTTAAAAAGTAATGGGCTGTAAATATATTTGAACATGAAGCAGTATACCCCAATATAAATGTGTTACAGAGACTGTTTTATAATATATAAAAATATGTACATGTGACACTATACTATTAAACAACTGAAAGTAACTGAACAATGGGAAAGTATTTGTGACCAAATCACAATTAATTACATGTGTGTAATGTTACAAGAGTGTGTTAAATGCTAAATAAACAAAGAAAACTGCAAAACAGAAGACCCATATATTTTCTCATTTAGTTTGGAATTGAACATACACATGTGTACTATTGTATACACATATATATCTTCTACAATTATACAGTTAAGTATACAAGTAAATATACTTGTATATATAGAACTATAGATTAAATATGCCTCCATCACTCTATTTAATTGTATTTTAAAAGTAAATTTTGACACCTATAGCATCATAACAGACACTATATTTTCCTAAATACATCTGTAAAACATACAGTGCATGTATTGCAGTAACTAAGGTCAAAGTGCAAACAGTTAAGTACAAGCATAGAACAGTCACAGGTGCATGCATATCACAAACCTGAGGCCCAACTGAGAATCCCGGATGAGACTGGCTGGGGGGATGAAGATCGTTTGTACCTGCCTCAGCCGCCACGGAGTTGCCTCTGGCTCCTGCAATGCAAAGAGAATCTCTGTCTTATTATCTGAAGCAGAGATCAGCACATTACATTTCACTGGTGATGTCACGGAGCATCAGGCTGAAAATGATATGCTTAAACGGTTTATCAATAACCCAGAAGCTCAAATCACTTATCAGCTGCATAAATTATGCTAATGTTCATTCAGTGCAGTCGGCTCATTCAAGGAGATACAAGGATCTGACAGCATAGAAACTGAACCTTTCATCAGTAAGGCTAATGTGGGTCACATTATACATCAATTTACATACATGACTTCCCAGCGTGACTGTGTAGAGTAATTTCTTTTCATGCTCCGATGAGCAACAGCAAGTGTAATTCTGAACACAGTGCAAATAAGGAATCACCAGCACGATGATTTTATTACAACTGATACAATACTATCTTTTGTCTCAAAATTCCCTTGATAAAACGACACTGGATAGTAAAATTATACTGAGTGTTGGTGCTTTGCATTTGATTTGAATGAATTCAGCCTGATAGAAAAATCAAGTGTAGTAAATAAATGTATCAACATTGTAAAACTTTATAAAAATATTATCTCAATATTTTACTTTAAGTCATTATTACAGATATCACATTTCCTTAATCCAAAAAAACCTTACATAGCAAAGGTCTGATAAATGCATTTGCCCTATTTGTTAAAACATTGAATTCGATTCTGAAAACTAATCTTTAAGTTTTTACTTAAAGCTGCAATGTTCGTAGCCATCTTACATTTAAAGAGAACAACATCATGAATTCTAAGAAAAATTACTAAGGTCTCCTATAAAAGGTGTTTTATAATACGATGCACAGATGGGGTCCTATCATGACAGATAACCCCAAGAGACTAGTGCTGTAGTCAAAGGAGATCAAGAGAATAGGAAAATGTTTGCAGATATTCCTTTGTCCTCAGATGATTGACATGCGCATTCATATTTGGCATTCAGTATAACTCAGGAAAGCACATCAAAGCCAGCTGTGGATGTTCAGCAACACGCAGATAGCCTCATGTAAGGTCATCTTAAGTATTTTCAAAGTGATTATGCTAACATGGTTAAGTCATATTAAAGTGAATGGACCTTCTTGATTACATGTTGCTACAGCCATAACAGACCTGTTATGGGACCCAGCAGCATAGCTATCTGATAAAGTCTGGCTGCATAATAATGTATACAGGGACCAGTAGCATTTTGCAAATTCATTTAATTAAAGTCACTTTTTATAAAGTATAGGAACCCATTTCATAATTTTGTTGAAGCTATTTATTTGTTGTATCTTATTTATTGTTTTAAGATTCTACTAGGACATATAGTAGGTCTGAGGTATATCTGAAATGGGTTTTTACCGGTCACATGTTGCAATGCGTGACATCATAAAAAATGACAGATCGCAAAAATAATACATTTTTAATTAATAAAACATTTATATGCATGGTCTATATACATGGAGAGGGTAATTGTTTAGGCATAGTTGCTTACTGTCTAACTTTGTCCAAATGGCCATGTCTCTCTCTATCCCCAGATACCTTTGGCAAAGACTGTGTGACCCCTGCTTTAGGGCATGATGTGGTTAACAAGACTTTATGCTAGCCATGTTTGGGGCATTGCAATGCATAAGTAAACCCTTGCACCTCAGAATTATAAATATATGATGTCTAAACAGGGTGCAGCCAGTAATAGGAAATAGAATATGGATTTGGAAAAGTGGTATAGTGTACTTTTTTATGTTTTGGTGCCATTTGGTCCAAATCAGGTAGTGTTTATCCCAACAAAGGGCACAGATGGCTACAAAAAAGAGACAAAGAGTCTAACCCTTTCAAGTTGGGTGACGTATTTTCAATGAATGGATCATCCAACCATTAGTATGGATGCTCAGCTTTAGTAAATTCCCTTACAACTTGTCTCAAGGTGGGTATGTGTTTGTTTCTTATTCAATTTTAATAAGTCCAGAAGTAGAATGTCTGCTGCATGATATATCAGCTTACTTGATGAAATTTAGCTTTGGAGTAAACCTCAGTTTAAGATAAACAAATTGTATTTAATAATTGTCACTGGACTCTCCTTAAATTTCGAGATATGGTGTATACCTATGCCACATGGATATCCTATGAGGTTATAGGGCATGTCCTAAGGGATTTTTGCTACATCAGAAGTATGAACTGCCACCTTATGGTGCATGTTATATAACAGTGTTTTCCTTTAAAAATATTCCATACTGCTACAAGTTTACTTTGAGCAGCCCAATTACAAGATGGACATTTTATTATGTATGTGGTAGTAAACAGAGGCCTGTTGACCCACAGCACTTTGTAGAACCTGTTGCAAATTCTATTGTGCTCCCCCAAAATAAGCAACACTGACAGCATCTAGCTATTAAATCCCTTTCCCTCTTTTCGCAATTTGCATTTACCAACAATGCACTTCCTGCCCTCTGGAGTCAAGGGGCTAAGAAGGACCAACCATGGAGTTTTCTTATGTGCCACCCCCCTCTCTATAAAAGTGTTCCCAGCAGACTTGTGTCAGTGTATGTTGGAGGAGATAAGGAATGAACATAAAAAATAGTTAGGGATGGATCACTGAGTGTTGTAAGGGACAGATAGCTGCTCATGCTGTTTGCTGGAAAATCTGACCTTTGCAGTGATTCACATACACACACTGAATCCCTGTGCTGAAGCAGACAGGGATAGATCACAGAGTATTTGGAAGGAGAGATTCTGCCAGGGAGAGTTTCAGCCACACATACGGTGCTGCTGAAAATTCTTATATTTACAGTCCGTGTGTGCTGAGGACACTTATAATAGATAGATCACAAGGTGCTTGCAGGGAGAGATAGTTTCTGCCATTCTATACAGTGTCATTGCAAAGTACCACATTTACAGTCAGTGTGTGGTGAGGAAATCTGAAATGCATAGGGTTATATCACACAGTGTTTACAGGGAGATACATTTTTGTGTGTGAGCAGCAGGTTCAATTTATCTTTAGCTGCTGCCCCCTCCATCTTGGAGGTGGGCCCTTAATGTCATTCGACATCATGGAAACTGGTGTGGTGTCCCAAAACTGGACACCACAAGCAATGGGGCGCAAGTAATAAGAGGCATCAGGAGAGTGGCAGCATTAACTGGGAGGCAGAACACCAAGCAGCGAGGATGCGGGGGCCAGCAGAGGCGAGCCAGGAGGCTTAACAGGCAGCAGCAGAGGAAATCTGGAAAACCAACTGGAACGAACAATGCAACTGGGCTAGACAGGCTAAGTCCTTACAGTAATGTAGCTCCCCATGCTTGATGGACCATGTGTCTGTGGTCATGTGGACCCTGCTGCTGACCATATGACAAATAGAGACATTGCACATGCCACTGAAGGGCCGGCATGGCTTTCTGGGCAAAATATGGTGGCTGGGTACCTGCCACTGTGGTGAAGCATATAATCACGGAAACTCCACCAGCTGGTATGGGAGCAGTTGTAAAAGTCAAGCTGGCATTGAGACTCTGGACACGAGGGTGATTAGGGAACATTTTTATCCTTCTGCTTCAGCATCTGTGGAAGACACACTTGAATGGTCAAGAATGCTGCTGGAGACTGCGGGGTGGGGGTTAGAAGGTACAGTGAAGTGAAAGCATACGTTTGGCCCTATTCAGCATGGCCCTATGTTGATCCTCCCAACTTGATATGCCATAAGGTAAGCCTGTTAAACCCCTTGTAAGACTACATCCTCCCTATCGCTTGAAGCCACAGATTTTGAAGTGGATACAGATGGAGAATCTTGGTGGGGTGGGGAAGTGGAAAGTGAGGAACAAGGAGAAGGTGTATGGGCGTTTTACTGCTGACTGGCATGATTGAGGTGCTGCTCCCACTGAGCTTTTGGTGCATAGTCATATTGCATGTGGTACACAAATGGCTGATACTTTAACTATCAGTGATATGCTGCAGGCAGAGACTACAGACCACAATAATGCTGTCAGCAACAGATATGGTAAAAAGAGGCCCACACTGCAGAGCTCTTTCAAATTGCTGCCTATTGCTAGCCAAATTAACAAACACATAACTGCAGTTTATATTTTAGATATTTTGGAAATAATTGGGGGATACGAGGATGGAAGGGGCTTCCGAGAAAGTGGGGATGTGGTTTTAAATTGTTTTTGTGCATTATTTTTACACGGTTGCTGTATGTCATTATGTACAATTTCCTCTAGGTCAATTCAGGCCAATTACTGCTGGATAAAAAAAATCAGGTGTCGCAACCAAAACTACTTAAAAAAGCATTTTTTTCTAGTTATAGTGAATCAGACTGGGGTGCTGCTGATGCTTTATTTAAACCAAACAATAATGTAGAAGTAAAAATGTATTACACATGCTAAATATGTGATGTCAGAATATGGGGTTACTAATGCTTTCCATGAGAATCTTACTGTTCCATAACAGCACAGACAGCTTGAAGGCATCTTCCACACAAGTAATTGAGAGGATTTGTGTTTTTTCTATGCCATCCTCAAAGTTGCATTTTTGCATTGGTACATGTTCCCTTTGTTGAACATTTGCTTGACTATTAGCCTTGAAAATGAGTAGAATTGATTATTAAAATTTGCCCCTCATAGATTTCATAAGGGTTTGGATTTACATTCTCAATTTTCCATCTCTATGATGTGTATGACAACTGGCCAAACAGCACATTTGATCATCCCTACACGAAAGTAGTCTTGTGCATAGACCAGCCTTTTAGGCCTTGTTCACACCGAAAGTGTGTGCGTTCCAGAGCGGTAGCTGCTGGAACACACCACGATCGCTAAGAAACTCCTCCCTGCATTTTGGAGCGGGAGGGGGCGTGGCGGTGCATTGAATTCAATGGCACCGCTTCCACGCCCCCTGCCCGCAGTGCGATCGAACACGTGGCAAGACTGTGCCAGCGTTCCGCTCCTCTGCAAACGCAAAAAATAGGGCTTGCTCTATTTTTTGCGTTTGCAGTGGAAGTCTACGAACAGCCTTAGTAGATCAA